GTGGATAACCTTTAGGACCATTAAGATCTGTCCTTGGTTTTGTACCAATACATCTATCCGGATATTTTATCAAGAGGTAGATCAAAATTCCCAGGAGACATACGAAAATTGCTGTTATAACTTCCATCTTATGATTATTTTTTTTTTTTTTAGTTACTAAAATATTTACTCGAGAATTTCATTCTTGAGATCTTTATATATCTGGGAAATGTGATAACCATAGTACCAAATAAGGATAATGTGAGATTTATTTATATTGGCGTAATATTAGAAGCATTCGATCATGAAAGAATCTTGATCGTTACCAAATAGGGGTTTCCCTTTCCATTTAAAAAATTATAGTGGTGAGTTTCCTTAGATATTTACATTTTAACATTTCATTTATACAATTATAAAATTATTGAGAGATTTTTCCGATAGATTAAATAGTTTTGCCGATTCTTTGTTTATAAAAAGTATGTTTTTTTAATGATCAATTAGTTGTGCAACATAAAGTTCAAGAGAAATTTTTATTTGTTTATCAAATGTCACACAAATAATTCATTTTTTATTATAATTTGAGTGGGAATGGTTTTCTAAAGATACTAAAAATACAAATAAACAACGTACTTTCCTATTAATAGAAAGACTGAAAGGAAGGAAATGATGACAAAGACGAAAAGCAAAAAAACAATGTGATAAATGAGATCATCCTTTGGACCGCAGCTAGTTAATGAAACAAAGGTAACCTCCGAAAAAATTTTTTTTTTTTTTGGAATTCTCCAATTTTTTATTTTGTTCAGCAACACCCTCTTGCCTAATGATATGATATGATGTTGCCTCTGGTATTGTCGAACATTTAAACCATCTTTCGCTCATTGTCAGTCAAACGAACTTCAATTTCTATTCAGGTCATTCATGAGAAAACCTTTCATATTGTTTGTACACTCAAATGACACGATTGTTGAATTTCTATCAGATGAGAAAATCAGGTAATGATCTATATTTTGCACCGGGTTTTTTAAAGTGGAGACGTGTTATCGTTGGTAAAGTATAACCGAAATATTCGTGATTCATAATGATTTTCGAAATATGTATTTTTAAAAATTTCGAATAATTGAAACTCACATAATTTTCTTCTATTATTAGTTTGTTGACAATAAAAAATGACAAAAACGGTACTATCTAATTTAAATCATGCTCTGTTTTTAATTGTAAACGACCCATATTGTATATTCTTTTCTTTGTTTTATAACAAATAGTCGAGATCAAAATATTCATAAATAAATTTTCATTGTCATTGAAGTTTCGATTTATAGATCAAGCATTCTTTGTACATTTCAATTTCAAAATACGACTTGTAATCCTTTTATTCAGAGCTGAATTTTTTTTTTTTTCATTTTCTTTATTTGATTTTTTTTATTTTTTTTTTTTTCAGTAATGTATAACCTCCTCAAACTGTTGTATCAGTTCACTGGGATATAAATCTTTTGACCATTTTAATCAAGCTCAATTGGTGATGCCGCCGCGATAATGTGCTTCCACGTTTTGGTATTATTGTCCGAAGCATAGCGGAGTAATGCTTGCACATTGATCACCCAATAGAATTCTGCGTTACTGATGTCATGGCTAAAATGATCGAGAGTTTTTCATCCTTTTATTTTTATTTTAAAAATTGACATATGATATTAGGTATTAGTAATTAATATATACCTTTTTTTCCACTCTGATATCTTGAAAACTATAACATAAAATATCTCGTGCGTTCTAAGGATGCTTTTTGACATATGTGAAGATCTACCATGCATTATCCCTTACATGTGGGTTAATAGAATGTCTAAACTGACGGATCAAGACGTCGTATATAATGTTTGTGCATCGCTTGATTTACACTGAGCTCAAGGAAAGAATGATACTGGCAAGTTATGGAGAAAATTAATGATGTGAATTTTTTCAACTTATTAAAATTTATGAGAAAGTAGTAAATCAAAGGAACATCTAACTTCTTTTAAGAAAACAAAATTAATCTAGTTGAATTTTTTTAATAATCATTCTTACAAACCAGTTTAGAAGTTGACGAGAATATATAAAAGATAAGTAAATTAGGTAATATAGAATATAGATAAGCAATCTTGACATATTACTATTTTAAAATCCAAATAAAATTACGCAATAAAAATTATGACTTCATCATAAATTTGAGCAATTATACGCATTCTCAAAACAATTAAGATCTACTAAGGTGGCAACGCATTATCTCCTACTGATAACGAAACGAAGGACTTTTCACGTCAAGATTTAAAATTCAAGGTAGATGCGAGAAAAGTCCATTTTCTGATACAGGTAGAACTAAACTGATAATGGGAGAAGTATTATATAGGTAATATCCTAAAAAATCCAGAGCATTTTGAAGTGGTCCATTGGTTTTGGCTGATCTTCCTTAGGGAGTAGTTAACCGCGAGAATTACTCACACCCACCCTTTTATTTTATTTTATTTAAACATAGAAACGGACGATTACGCCAACAAATGAAATGAAAGACTTTCCCGATAACGCTACGCTACTTAGAATTAACTAGATGGTCTTTTACAAAAAAACACGCTGCGAAACCAAAAAAACTTTAAATTTATTTTTATTGTAAAATTATAACTTATATTTTTCTTTATTTTTTTTTTTTTTTAAAAAAAAACTTTTTGATGGAGGTAATGAAATCGGACATTTTAATAAAAAAATTAATTTATGAACCCAAAGATAGAAAATCAACAATATCTTGTATTATCACTCTATATTTTAATTATTATATATATATTATCATAATTGCAGTGAAAGATAAAATGGTCGGAAACGTTAAAGTATCGATTACTTTCTTAAAAAAAACAAATTATGCTGTATATGTGTTGTGATTGAAATTAAATTGATCCTTGCATATTTTAAAAAATGCGAAAGGTTTTATGTTTATAACAAACTATTGTTAAATGGAAAAGATCAACATAAAATTACATTTTTAAAAAAACAATATGATTTGAGCCGCAGCCAACTAAACTATTCAATCTTTTAAATTAATTTCCAATTCAATAAAATAAAAGCATTCATATAATAGTAGAACAAAATTAAAATTGAGTATTAAAGTGGTGAAATCGGAATGTAAGATTAAGGATTGCAGAGAATCCACGGTTGATTTAGATTCTTCAAGAATGCCTACTATTCTGCTTAACCTTATATATTGAAGTTGTTTAGATCCTTCTTTTTATATTTGGCGTAAAATGTTCCTCGCTTCAACGGTGAATTTTTCAATAACCGATTTTTTTAAAAAAGAAAAAATTCACCCTTAAAATCGCCTTCACCAAATTTTTTTTTAAGAAGTTTCTTTAAAAAAAAAAAAAAGTTAAAAATAAAAAAAAATGAAGTTTCGTCTCAGCGAATTTAGTATTAAAATCTTTTCTAGGTTTATGATTAAAAGAAGTTTAATACAAGTAAAGATTGAAACAAAAATAATGTTTGTTAATTAAACAATTTTCATTCGCAATAACATGTCGAAATCATGAAAAAAAAAAAATCAAACACTTAAAGAAATAGCCTAAAAAAATCGTCCAAAACAAAAAAAAGAAAACTTCTAGTTTATAATAAATCATCTAAAATTAAAATAGACTCTTTAAAAATTTAAAATGTTAGCTTTAAGACCTAAATTTTAGGACCAAGTCTTAATTTAAATATTTTTAAATAAAAAATTATTTTTTTTTAAAAAAAAAGAATCTTTAATACGATTTTTATCAACCATTGATTCTAACCATTGCAGTCCCATTCGTTACAGCTATACCATTGAAAAAGAATTAATTCATCATTCTCCCGCATTTTTTCTCCTTTTTCTTTAAATGAAAATAATTATAAGAGATATAACATTAGTAATATATTTTAAAGACAATTTTTTAAGTTAGTTCACCTTCTTATAACCTTTTTATTATCATTTCCGTATTTGTTGCTGAGTGCCTCACTCGGATCTCATAAATTTTAGCTTTAAGATTATTTGATCCTAATGAAATAGCCTCAAACTCTAGTTCATTCTGAGCGTTTTCCTCCGCCACACTTTCATATGACGGAGGGAATTTCTTTCAGATATCTCAATGTATTGACGTTTATAGAATTGTTTTCTACAAGCTTTTCCCATTATTGAGTATTAAAAGTTGAGTTGGCAATTTGAAATGTGAAACAAATTTGAAAGCGATGAAATACGAATAACTTTTTGGATATTTTAAAGAAAAAAAAAAAAATTTTGAAAAGTATAATTTCGATAATATTATGTTAATTATTTATTAAATGGGGCGTTCTACATATGCATCTATGAAAACGTATTTTCGTGTTTAAATTCGATCAGTTTGTATTATATATAATTTACGAGATAAAATTTTTACCTTTGCTTAATGTTGTCGTTTATTTTTTTTTTTTTATTTCATGATTAAAACCTACAAATAATCGGAATTAAATTTTGTGGTATGACGATTTCTTGCAACAATGAACAACAAATTGACTGAAAATGGAGTGCATATGATCATTCAAAGAGACTTCAGAGAACTTCTATTGCGCTTGCGGGATGGTGAAATTACAGAAAATGACTGGTCCCTACTTGGTAAACGTTTTTCTAATGCTCCGGACGTATTAGCTTCTTTGGATCATGCTCGATTCTCTGATGCTACATGTAAAATTGGAATATCTGAAATTCAATTTCAGATAAAAAATCAAATTTAAAATTTTATTCTTTTTAATGTATTTTAAGACTTGACTTGCTAAGACAAAATTTATTTTATTTTATTTATTATATACAAAGTTGACTTTAAAATAAATCCTGATTTATATTATATAAGGAGGATCGTTACGACGGCAAAATTATTAATCGGGATGATAATGGTCGGTCAAGGACAATTTGGCCGACAGTTTTAAACTGATCTGGTTAATAGTGACATAATTGATTTTAATTTAACTATTATCTAATACATTTTAAATAATTAAATAAAAACCGGTCACATCACTTATAGTTGACTTTTTTCGATAATGGCACGTGCATCAAAATTATGTTCAAAATGTTCGAGGGTGTTTACTTATTATCATGATTCTAATTGATAATAGTAACATTTTATTCCAAAGATTTCGATTATTTCACGCGATTAGCACATATAACCCCCACCTAGAGACGTTTCCAAAATTTTCTCTACTTTTTCGCTCAAATAAAAACCAATAAATCACAATTCTGCTTCCCACACTATATTATTATTTATTCACTCTATTATTGGCCTCGAAGGAACATAAAGAGAGTTTTTAAAAACTTTTTACATAATTTTTCATTTTTGACTATAAACGGACTTTTCGATACCGCTACGCCACTTAAACGATAATGAAGGACTTTTTGCGTCAAGAATTTTTCAAATTATTGAAAAAAGGTACTTATTGCGCTCAATGTTATTTGATATCAAATAATTAAGTTTTAAT